AATAGAGTTGTATTACACTAATCCAAATATACCTTATGCTGATTGATACCATTGTATTTTTCTGTTGTTCAGGCACCATTATTGGTAGCGCAAGTAGTGTCTAGGGACATTACACCTAACTTGATAATGATGGTTTTACTAAGCCCTTATCCTGGCCAGGCCTCTGGGCATTTTACAGATAATTAAAATTGAATCATAAAAAATTTTAAACACAATGCACCTTAGCAATAAGATTTTTCTACTTTTAAACATGATTTTAAAGCCCATTTAAAAAATGCATTTCCTTGGCCTAGTGAATTTGCTTCCTTTTTTTCCCAAGGATTACAGAAAGTGCATAGCAAATTCAGCCTTCAGAATACCCAGGAGCTGAAGACTCAAGTAGGCTACAGCTGTCTTCACCCACAGTATTCTAAAAGAACTAATGAGATGAGAAGTCTGCAGCTGGTGGCAAGCACAATAAACCATGAGCCAAGGGCTTCTCTTCATCAGAGCCTCCCCTTTCCCCATGGGATCCCAAAGGAGACAGAATACTAACAAAGCCAGCAGGCTGTCTCATTCCACACTATTGCTCATTTGCAGCTATAATTGGTAGCTGAGGTTGCATTCTGTATGCTGAAACTGTCATACATGAAGGAATATATTTGTTCATTGTGATACGGATATAAATCGGCCAGTTTTCAAATACAGAAAGACCAAGCTAGATACCCAACAATAAAATTGTAGCAAAGAGACTGTTCAAAGAATTAACTGTGTTGTAGAGATAGAAAACTATGGTTGTTAAAACTACAGCTGCTTCTTGCTTTTTAATATCTTGCCACTTAATTCAACTGATTAAACATTTACATATTCTATGTATTCAAACTAACATAAAACACAAAAATTCCTAGGTTTTGACAAGATGCATTATTCTCATCTGTCATGGTTAAAGTACTATTGTTAATAACTGAGTTTTGATACGTTTTCAGTGTAATGTTTTTTGTGTTTACTGCTTTGTATTCAAGAGGAAAAAGCAGAGAGGGGAAGGCTTAGTTTCATATATACATATATGTGTATAAATCTTTCATATTATATATTTTGTATATATATTCTACATATATGATATCCTATATACACACATGTCTCACGGGAAATTCACTTAGATACCTCTGGTGCTGCAACTTCTTGGTGTTGTAAAATGTGTTTTGATTATCTGGCATTTGTTGATACTTTTTTCCATTTTCTTGTGTGGCGTACCAGAGTGAGCCCAGGACAGAGGCTAAGGAGGCTTGAGTTGAAATGCTAGGGTATGTGAACCATGCCATCTCCTTATCTGACTGTGGTGTCTCCATCTGTGAAATGAGGGCCTGGGCACTCTTTAAGGTTCAGTTCACCTCTGTGGTTCTGTGTATTTGTAGCTTAGAAAAGTGAGACACTAGCACCAATAATGAAGGCTCAGAAATATGCTTTTTGGAACGATATATCAGTTAGGGCCAGAGTGGAGAAGTTTTGAAGTATTGTTGCTTTTTCTCTAGTTAATTATCTATGTCAAATAGGCATTGAAAATCCCTGAAGTTGTCAGCCTGGTATGGAGCTGGGCTTAGGAAGGAGGAGAGATATTGTCATAGGAGTCCATCTGATCCATCCACTCACATTGTCACCTTCACTGGTGCCATAACCATTTTCAGCCTGTCCTCTGGGGCGAGTCACCTCCTTGATTGACTTAACCCTACATGAGAATAAGTTATGCTGGTTTATGTACTGCCCTTGTTGTGTACCGTCATCGGTTTTATTCCTAATTTAGCCTACTGATACTTGCGCATCCTTTATCTTGCAGATTTTTTTTTCTCTTGGAGCAGTTCTGCAGTCTCTATATCATGAGTTCTAAGGTTCCGTTCTCCTTTTTTCCCTTCATTTTAATATATCCAAAATTAGGATTTGTCTTCCACTTATCGTATGTTTTATCTGCTGAGTGCTTTCCCTTCTTTAATGGTGCAAAAAATAACAGCATCCTGTAATCTTATGACCTTTTTAATTCAGGAAATGTGGTATTTACTCTTCGGCTCATCTGGACTCCCTGATACCTCAGACTCTAAAAAACCAAGCAAACATAAAAACAAAAACTCTGGAGCATCATGCCCTTGATGATGCCACACCCTAGTCAGTAGCAAGTAAAAAGGGAGGGGAAAGAAGTTTGCCCTGAAATCGAATAAACTGGTAGATACTCGCCATGTTTCCAGGCATTATGCTGATACCTAAAATTTAATCATTAAAATATTTTAAACATAATATACCTTAGCAATAATATTTTTCTACTTTAAACATTTTAAAATTCATTTTACAATTGCATTTCCTTGACCAGTTTTGTTTGGTTTCTATTCTGACTATAATCACCCCCATTCTCTGTTGGCAGTTAAAATGTACTTCTTGGATTTGGGGTTACTCTTCTTTGTTTACCTCTCCTCTCAGCTAGGCTGAATTTTTAGGAGAGAACTGTGTGTTGGTTCTCCTTACCCCTCTGCCTCTGTGGATGCCCCTTAAATCTTGTGTGCTACCTTCTCTATGGTGACTGTTTAATGAGTAGATTCTGATTGAGGGAAACAATGCTGAAAGTGGGTGTTTGATAGGATATTTTCACTTTTGGAGAAAAGCGGGTTTGCCTTTGGGCTTTACTTCTAAGCCTCTCATCTGGAAGAAAATGTTTTATGGAGTTACAGGTTTATCTATGTTGGCAGAGTAGCTTATTTCTCATTTTGAACCCAGGCCTTAAGACCACCTACCTATACATTTGGTTTTTAGTCAGTCAGAAGTAGTTAATTTTTAGGGTGTGGTTCAAAGTTGGGATTTAAGAATTCACCCTGGCTGACAGGAATTGAGCTTTCTGCTGGTGTGGCCGGACACATGATAGAACTTCGCTTGTCCGGGTCTCGCAGAAGGCGTATCCCAGCTCTCGGTTCCTGGGTCGTGCTGATGCCTGTGGTTGTACCACATGCATATGTTAAAGCATGTGGACCCCACATAGCCCACTAAGTTTGCTTTTTATTTATAGTAGCCCAGCATCGGGCCTTTTCATAGCTTCTTAGGCACCCTTTAGAGGATTCAAGTACAGGGTCACATATGTACCCAGTTTTCTTCTATCTTCTCCCTGAACCCCGTATCTTTCTTCATGTAACGAATTTGTAACTTTCTCTTTGGGAATTACATGCCGTATGCATTAACCAGGTACCTGTTGAGTCTTGAGTGGCTGCTGCTTCACATGTTTCCTTTGGTTTGTGGAAAGTTTGTATTATGCTTTCGAGCATGTTCAAATTTTGCTTTGTGCTTGTACTGCCCTTAACTCCAGAGCAGTGATTTTTTTTTTTTTTATCCAGGGTTTCGTATCTGATTTGTCTGGGCGTTTTTCCCAAAGAATTCTGTGAAGGACCCCCAGGGGCAGAAAGTCTGCTTGAGAAGTTGAAGGGGCACATACATGTTCTCTCCTTCTCCCTCTCCCTTTCTTTCCCCACTCTCTCTCTCTCCCTCCACCCTTCCTCCCTCCAGTATTTTGTTTTATTATTTTTCCTTATTTATTTATTTTTGAGGCAAGGTCTCACTCTCTTCCTCAGCCTGGAGTGCAGTGGTGCAATCCCAGCTCACTGCAGCCTCGGCCTCCTGAGTTCAGGCAGTCCTTCTGCCTCAGCCTCCAGAGTAACTGGGTCTACAGGCACAAGGCACCATGCTTGGCTAATTTTTGTGTTTTGTTGTTGTTGTTGTTTTTTATAGAGCCAAAATCTTACTATGCTGCCCAGGTTTGTCCTGAATTCTTGGGCACAAGCAATTCTCCCGACTTGGCCTCTCAAAGTGTTGGGATTACAGGCGTGAGCCACCACCCCCAGCCCTTTTTTGCAACATTTTAAACTGACCAGCCGATCTCTGCTCAGCTACCATTGCAACTCTCTCTTATGTTTTTAAAACCTGGACTTTAGCTTTTCAAAAGTAATTTGGTTTAATCTGTAGATTGTATTACATATGTATGTGTGCAGTTGCAATGAATTTTTTTTTGTTTTTGCTTTGAGTTGTAGTCTCACTCTGTCGCCCAGACTGGAGTGCAGTGGCCGCTCCCGGCCACCACAGCCTCGACCTGCTGGGCTCCGGCGATCCTTCCACCTCAGCCTTCCGAGTAGCCGGAATTACAGGCGCGCACTACCACGCCCGGCTAAATTTTTGATTTATTATAGAGATGAGGTCTCGTCTACAAAGCAGATAGGTTTTAAAAGATTTACTGTTTACATTTCCCCCATTTTGTCAGAAAGAGGATGTTAAGGGAAACATAATTTACACACGTTAGAACTTTGAATAAAACCTAAACTCTAGAGTCTTTCTCCTATAATATGTAACCAAGGCAGTCTTATGATGCCCCTCCCTTGCTTCCTTTGACAGTGAGGTTCTGATATGAGTACACTCCCTCGTCCATGAGTAAGCCAAAGTTTGTGTACCCCTTGGCTCTCTGTGGACAGGGAAACCCCTGGAGAGGCTGGTCAGGAAATTGAGGTAACTACCACAGACCCAACTCTGGAAGAGATTGAGGGAATGCCTCAGAACCAGTAGTTCTAATTTGTGTTCTCAGTCACAGTAGTTGCTCTTTAGGAGGTGTTAAGAGTCCAGTGTCATTATCCAAAGGTGGTGTCAAAATGAGATGGATATGTTTTATCCTTATATCAAAATGCTGAAACTATTGAAAAATGTTGAGAGATCTGTTCTTGGCAATAGTGTCCTGTCCAGTAACCAGTAATAATGGATTGCTAGTCAAGACTTTGATCGGTTCTTATTATGTAGTCGTTTTGCCTAAGGTAAAAGTTTAAAGCAGAGGAAACCAAACTGAAAACTTAATGTCGTATGGAAGCATTTTCCTAGTTTTATGCAAAAGTACAGTAAGTCTAATTGGTTTCTGTTATATGTTTTGGTAGCTGCAAAGAGCTGTTCTGGCAAGGTTAAAAATATTCTCTGGTTTTCTTCTCTGCTTCTGACTTTGTTTTGCTTTGCAGGACTACAAAGCTGATGAAGACCCTGCATTATTCCAGTCAGTCAAGACCAAGAGAGGCCCCTTGGGACCCAACTGGAAGGTACTGGATGCTGACCTTTCTGACAGGCAGAGTCTTGGCTACAGAACACTTGACAGGTCTTGAGTCTTGAAAAGCTGGTGACGTTTAAGTGAAAAGTAGAAATGGCACAAAAATAGTTTTATTTGCGATAAGGACTTACAGCCAGTTGCAGTTGGCCAGCAATTCTGTGCAGCATTAACAAACAGAACAGAGCCAGACTGTCACTTTCAGCATAATACTATTCTGATAACTCTTAAAAGAGACAAGTGATTTAGTCTTTGGGGATTGTAGTGTTCTCTTTTGAGACTTGAAACAGTATAAAAATCCATGTTAAATGAAGGTTTATAGTTTAAGTTTTGTCTTAGTAAAAACTGAGCAAGTTCCCTTTGCCCAGGCTCATGTTCTGGTCTGTTAATAGTTATATTTTTGGAAAACAGGACACAAGAGAACAATTTTTGTGGCAAGTAGTTGTTTTTGAATAAAGAGGACACCTTTATTCATGGGAGTGAGAAGAATAATGTCAGGGTCATATTTTAAATTGTTGTAGAAATAGAATGCATTTTAAAGACATTCACTAAACTAAATTACAGATGCTTAAAGAAGGCTTAATGTGTTGATGGCAAGTTATTATAGCTAATATGACAGGGGAAGAGGAACATAAAAACCTAAACATGCCCAGAGCAGGTTTTCTACCCACAGGGTTTTACTTGGTGACCAATCTGTCTGTGCTACTGAAGCCAGTCACAGGTCATTGATAAATGGTGTCTAGGTACTGGTTGTTGCCTGCACACAGAGGATGACTGTAGCAACCCCACAGGTAACTCATTGAGTGGTTCTCCATGGATGTCAGACTGTTTTGTGGAGTCTTACACATGAGCTAAAAGGAAGAATGAGCCTAATTCTGCTTTATAAGAAATTATTCATAATTATTTTATTTTCACATTTGTTACCTGGGTAGAGTTCATTTCAAAATTCTCCAATTTAATAGCCATGACTGGAAACTTTTAATACCCAGAAAATGATATATGTCACTTATAAATTAAGGAGCAAATTCAGCATGCGTGATCTGAATTTGCTCTAATGGATTTAAAAAAACACGTCTCCACCCTTTTCTAGATTTCTAGATGCAGACTTTAGAACTCCCCCTGAGTCAGAGGAGAAGTCTTTCTCCTCTGAGCTTTCATACTGGCTTTCTAAGCAGGAGCACTGTGCTAGAGCACCAGACAGTGGCTACCTTAGGGTGCTCTGAGTTTAGAGGAACATTGTGCTCCAGTGAGTACTAGCTGTAGCTGGCAATACTTTTATAGGGAATAAAGGAGCATGAGGCTGAGTCCCAGAGGTGGATTGAGTATTGAATTTTCTTCAAGTATAAACATGAAAAGGCATGCTACATTACATGGTAGGGCCATTATGTTTGGGGTCATATATTTTCTGTAGGAACTCCTAACTGATTTTCTAATAGACAGCAAAAGTAGTTTGATGCTGACTTTTACCTGACTTCTAACTTTTTAGACACTTGCTATATATACATTTATAATTTTTTACCTTTTAAAAAATGTTTTCCTTTTTTACTGACTTTGCTTTATCTTTTATTGTTGACTAATTATTATTTAAAATTCAAGAATAGGTTTAGTTTTTAGAAATAATATGAATTTCACATTTTTGCAGGTTGCAGAATAGCAGTTCCCCTCTTTCCCCCATTTCTTTTTCTGTGTTAAACAATAACTTATGTTGGTAGAATGCTGGCTAAACATGATACCTTTTTTTTTGAGTTGGAGTCTTACTCTCGCCCAGACTGGAGTACAGTGACCGCTCCCGGCCTCCACAGCCTTGACCTGCTAGGCTCCGGCGATCCTTCCACCTCAGCCTTCCAAGTAGCTGGAACTACAGGAGCACACCACCACACCCGGCTAATTTTTTAAAATTTATTGTGGAGATGAGGTCTTGCCAATTGCCCAGGCGGGTCTCGAACCTGCGGGCTCAGGCAATCCACTCACCTCAGCCTCCCAAAGTGCAGATTACAGGCTGAGCCACTGAGCCCGGCTACATGATACCTTTTAAGGCACTTGCCTGTTGGTGGTTCTTTTAGCCAAATGATGGTGGATGTACCTACTCTTGAAAAGTAACTCTTGAGTTGCTGCTTAACTGAATTTCTGTGAACTACCATGATTTCAGAAATAACTAGTGTAGTCAAGAATAACTAATTAAATCATCTGCTTGCTGCTATGAAAGGAAATAGAGGATAAGAAGGTAGCTGATAAACTGCATACAGTAAAGTAGGAACCTGTGGGCCGGGTCTTGTTGGCATCTTCTGTGAATGTGTTCTGCAGGCCCTCTGTCAGCAACAGCCCTTATCATGGCACTCAGGGCAGCACTGGGAGTGGATGATGGTTGGAAATATCTGTACTCCTGAAATATGAGAAACTAATAGAGGATAGATACGTGGTACTTATGGTGAAAAGGAAGAAGAAATCTAATTCTAGACCCCCTTGCCCAGGATCGTCTGGAAGAATGCTCTTATGTAAGTGTTACTTGGTCATTCCACAGCCTCTCTTTCATAAGGGCTGCTGTGAGCCATCCCACCTTAGCAGTGCAGATTCCTAAGCATATTCAAAGCTAAGTGCAAATCCCATCATCTCCTTGAAATTTTTCCTTATTTATGCTATCGTGGTATTTTCTTTCTGAATTATTGAAGAATATTGCCTGTCTGTGCAGACTTGTTAGGGGGATTAGAAACTTTTCCTTGGTGCCAGGTACTTTTCCTTTGAACCAGGTCATATTTAATTTTCACAACCTCCTGTGGTATACAAACAAGTGCTTCATTTTATAGGTGAGAAACTTAGCCAGAGAAGCACGTGTATGAGTTGTAGGAGAAACAGCACGATGTCTGCCATTTTTGTAGCACCTGATTCAATGCTAGTCACAGAGACATACTCCCAGATCACCCATCTGTCCCTTTTATGCCCTGTCGCTTCATGGCAGTTATGTGGCTCTGTATTCTTGGTATTTGCCGGAATTTGATAATTTCTATTGCACCTGTGGTATATTTCCATTGGTTAGGGGATCTGTGGGTGACATTTAAAAGCCACTGTGAATCTAAACAAATTGTAATTAAATAACTTAAACCTAACTCTTAGCCTTGGTTTCCACATCTCTAAAGTGGGAATTGTATTGGTAACTACCTCAGAAGGTTGTTAATGAGAACTCAATGGAATATAAGGTTAAACTCCCTGCACAAGAGGAAATGCATAATGTATATTAGCCCTTATCAGTGTCACCATGCTTTTGTCTTTAAAAATAAAAAGAATTTTAAGCCTTCATTATTTCTTGGGGTTGATGAAATCTGTGAATTGCTACCCTGTTTATAACCAATTATTCCTTCTCTCTGTCTGGTTTCCAGGGTTGGCCTTCGTGCTACTATCTGGGAATTGTTAAACACATCCTGGTTCACCTGTCCCTACTACATAGCTGCATGTGTTTAATGAGTGCTTGACTTGGGTCAGCCATAAAGCAGAGGGTCACATAGTTTAGAGAACATTCACTAGGAGGGGATGATAGGATTGCTAAGGAATACATTTTCATGTTTTCCACATTTCTAAAGAGTACAGACCATTTTTTTTTAGCCTATGTTACGATACATAGCTTTTATTTTTAGAAAACCAGAAACCCACAGAGATGCAAGCCTTGTTCATTTTTCCTCTGAAGAAAGAATTTTTAAAATCCGAGCACATGAATTATATTTTGTTAGAGTTCAACATTTGATTAAGTGACTGTGCTCATAGTAATGGGAGAGCAATTTATAACTTGATTACGGCTTTTGCTTCAAGGCAGAGTTGTATGTTTCTGGTGGATGTAAATGTGTTGCTTCTCTATAGCATGGGTACATGTATGTGTGCTCATGTTTTCATTTGTTTTATGCTTTGGCGATTGTGTGTGTATTGTGACATTGGCATGACTACCTATTCTGATGTTTTATCAGAAACATTGTACAAGTGGATTCCTTTTAGCTTTCTAGTTCGCCTTCTCTGATTTAGTCAAAGAATTGTCATTTTTGAAACACTATCTTTGAAGATTATAGATATGGCAAGGCCTCATTTCATTTGGCAAGGCCTCATTTCATTTCTCATTTCAGTTAAGCCATATACCTCATGAAGACTTAAGCTTCTGTGTTTACAAATATGTGGTAGTTAATAATTAGACCTCTAAGGGTCTTTATAGGAGCCTTTCCAAGGCATCTGTCTCTTACAGTGCTTGGCATGTCTTGGAATTCTCAGCTGGTGCTCTAACACTGGCATGTGTAAGGGGATCAGGTCAAATAAAGAAGTTGATCCAGAAATTATGGTGGTTTAAATATTATATGTGTGCTTTTCCTAAACATAAAGGCAAGCCCATCTGTCTTCTGTGTTAGTTAACTCTAGACTGAGCAAATGCTCCAGCATTTGGAACTTGGCCTTTCTACTTGTCATACTGTTTACCTGCTCATTCAGCTTCAGACCCATTCTAGAATAGCTGTAGTGGCAATTCTGCATCCTCTGTGCTAGTTGATGGCAGCCATTTTTGTGGGTTACAGATAAGATGCTGATTTGTTATACTACTAATTTGCCATACTACCAAGATTCCTTTCCCTTTCTGCTCCACAACTGTGAAAAGATGGTGGTAGCCTTGGTGTCAGTGGCCTAAGATAAAAAAAAAAACTGCAGGAACCTTTTGGACAGGGATAGGAAGACTAGAAGTGGGTGGTTAGGGAAAAGTTGAGATTCAAGTGTGGAAATCTCTTTGGAGACAGAGACTGGCAGGAAAGCCACCCAGGAACTCCTCAGGTGGCTAGTGAGCTGTGTCCTTTACTTGGTAGCCACCCTAGTGGAAAGACTGAGCATGCTCTTCCTACTTCTTAGTCTAGACATGTCTGTGAGGCCCAGGAAGGATATGAAGGCATTTGAAAATATGCTTCCTCCCTGTAATCTCACATTTGAAATTCCATAGTGGTGGCATAAAGAGGCTTACTAGTTTCTGGTGAGACC